GGGGGCAAGGTTGTTGAGGGCTTTGAAAGTGAAAAGTAATATTTTAAAGTCAATGCGGTGTTTGATGGGGAGCCAGTGAGGGTCTGCATGCTCAGGCCTATTTTTGGCTGCTGTGTTTTTGTTGGCTAATTAAGTAAGATCCTATTAGAATGCTCTCTACACCCGTACCACATAAAAAGCTGTAAAAAAAATGGCAGAGACAGTTGAGACTTATTTGAGATATGGTAGGAGGTGAAATAATTAATATTGGGATATAATGTTATTAGTGTCTTATAAGGTGGTATCAATTCACTGCTATTAGTTTAGCTTATTCAATATACTCTTTTGTGATACTGAGGCAGAGGTATACAATTGTAATCAAAAGTAATCTTATTGCACATTGTACAGGCACATGTAGCCCGCAGCTCCCGAAAGGCTGTTCTCTAAGCTGGTTTATCATTCCTGGCTGCAAGCTTTCTTACGTTTCCTTATACTTTTTGGCCAGTTGGGTTCAGCAGAAAACAATCTGTCGATTTGACAATTTTATATTATACCCTTTCAAAGTTGATAGCAAGCATATTAGCAAAATACATGTTTTTACACATCTAGCATACACAAGGCTATTAAGATGTCTTTGTTGCGTCCATGATGGATTATTGATGATGAATGGAATATTCAGAAAGAGACACAAAATGACTACAAAAGACCAAAACAACTACAAAGATTCCGAAAATGATGTTAAAGGCTGTCACACCTTTGATAAAACCAGCAGTTCCTTGAAGTATTTTACTATCAAACTCTTGATACAAAAGCTGATGTGGAAGAACTCCTCTGGTGTGGGACTGACCCAAGGTTCAAGGTTCTTTATTTGTCAAACGAACATAGCTACAGTGTAGTTACGTCGATGAAAATCTTGTGTCACAGGCTTCAAAACACAGATAAACTGAAAAATATAGTGCAAGTAAATAGTAAATACAAGAAGAACATTTTTTTAAAAAGTGAAATAGTGCAATAAGAGTGTAAGGGCCTAGCCAGCATGTTGATGTTTTTGTTATTGTTCCTGTTTTCATTGTTGTTTCTCTCATTTCAGTCTCAGCTTTCCTGCCCTTGATTGAACTCCACCTGCTTCTCATCCCTAATTAACCTCACCTGTGACCCATTATCTTCTCTCCCTCTGCCTACTTAGTCTGCATCCACATTCCCTTCAGTGCCAGTTCGTCTTAGTTATTCCTAGCGTTCCAGCAGTATTTTTCCTAGTATCTGATTCCACATGTACCTGACCCAGCTTCGTGTCCTGACCCGGTCCCTGTCTACTCCTCGTCTGTTTTGTTAGCCTTATTGACTGATCTCCCGTGTACCGAACCTTGGCTATAAAGACCTTTTTTGCATCCTAAGCCTCTATCTCTGAGTCGTGCTATTGAGTCCTCCACTTGTGTTCATTCAGTCGTTACTGTTATTTGCGAATATACAACCCTCCGTTTGCATTCAACGGGAGCACTACAGGTCGAAAACTTTAAAACGTGATTATAGGTCGTAATAAGGGCTTGAACAGTCAACCTATTTGGTCGTAATACTGTAAGGGCTTGAACAATCGACCTATTTGGTCGTATGAGTTGGAGGACTTGTTGGTTATTATGAACCACAGCGCAGGGGCTGCTGGGCTTCAGTAAGGCTTACAGTTATGGGTTTCCCTTACTCACATTTCCCTCTCCTCCTCTGCTGTGGATAAAATTACAATTTCACTCCACTCTGGTTTGTTGAGTTGAAGCCACGCAACGCTGTCTTGAACTTATAAGAAAATATTTTGCTTTATTGCCTGCTTTGCTTTAATTAGAATAAAAGTATTGTCAATGTCATTGAAAGTTATCTTAAAACTACGAGAAATGTGGTTAAGGAAGGGCCAGAAATGTTTCTGCCATATTGAAATATAGCAGCTAAAGCTAGCAGATTAGCCTGGCATTAGGAATGGAAGCACCAGAAAATATCTGAAATTGACATTTAATCTTGTTTATTTAATAAGTCTACAGATGTAGAAACGTCTTTGGAACAAAATGTGTGGTTTTCTTGGGAGATCTGTTTCTATTTTTTGCCAACATGGTCATCTAACAAGAGCTTCTGTTCAGTTTGCTTTAGCATTTGTTGCTGCCAAGTACCAATCAAAGGAGAAGTCACTGTTCCTTGTTGATGTTTCCCAAGAACTGCTAACATTATGTAACTATAAAACAACCAGGTGTGAGCTGTTTTCCACATGTTCCAGTCTATATGCTAGGCTAAAATAAGATAATAGTTTAAACTAGAGGTGTGTTTTATTACAATAATAGGTAACAACACCTTAACACTTTATAAGTGGATGTGTTTGCGTTGTGCAAAGATGCCCAGTGGTTGGAGGGATGCCACAAGAAAGAACTTCAGCATTAGTGAAAGGGAGGTTAAATAAACTTAAATAGAGTAAACGTGATTTTCCAGTGTGTCAGTGCTGGTGTTGAAGGAAAACTAAAAAGTTGAAAACATGCATCATCATCCAAGAGTTTTGTACAAAGGATCATACATTTAAGGATCCAATATTTATAGGTAAAACATATAATGATCTCAAATGTAATTCATGACATTCAACCAGTTTTAATGTTCCTCTCTTTTAAAGTTATGCTTTCATGTTTTTGGAAAACACAATTTGTGGACTGTGAAATTAGATGTTTTTTTTATTTTCTTGGTAGGATTGGTCATGACTGAAATGTTCTCTTTGCAAAAGAAGAACAACAAAATAAATGTATTGGTGAATCAGAGAAATCTATGGCTACTTACAAAAATAAAAATATGTTTGTTTTTGTATCACTTCCTGCAAAGGCCCTTTATCTCCATTTAAAACATCCCACAAAGAAATCAGAAGCATCCTATTGTGGAGCCACAGTAGCAGTACATCTTTTTTTATGTGTAGCCCTAATAACTCAAAAACATACCTCGAGGACATTCAAGGAAAGAACAGTATGTACTTTTGCAGAATAATAGCTCAAGTGTAAGAATATCAACTAAGAACATCATCAGATTTCCCCTCAAGGCACAGCAGGATAAATGGGCCATCGGCACACAAAGTGTCCACAGCAGATACAGTGTAAAAATAAATGCATGAATCCAGAGCTGCAGAGTATGTAGCAGCATGTGAAGGCTTTATTCTGATGCAAGCCAGAACGATGGGTAGTGCTACACATAAAATGTCCCACACACTGCCCCACTTAAGGTCCAACACAAAGCAAAAATGTATGTATTTAGCACACTGGCCGATAAGTGTGTAATACATAATCCACAATATATCTAGATAGCAGCGTTTTTATTTCTGCGTACTACAACGTGCCTTAATCCAAGAACATGCATACAAAAAAAAGTCCAAAACAGTCCACATGTGCGCCAAATCCATGGAGGAAGACACAAACACATGCGCGCAAACACACACTCACACTTTTCAGAGAACACATCTGCCCTGTAAGAGACCCAGAGTAGGACACTGCCAGCTGGCTTTGTTTCAACTTTACACCCCCAGGGATTGGTTCTCCTCCCACAGGCCAAATATGGAAGAGGAGCGTACCTCTGTCTACCCCAATGGGACTGCAAATACACACACACTAAAGTGCACAGTGCTGTGGGAGCAAAAGCATTAGCCTTATGTGGTCACAAGGTGGCTAGCACCTAAGTTGAAAATATATATCAACCGGCACATCTATGGTCACTATGGCAACAACAGATATTCTGTGTCGGGCGGTGTGAGTCTCGGATTTAGGGGAATAACCCTCTCCGATCGGTTCACCATGACAACAGAGAGAGTTCAAAGGTCAGATCAGCTGAGGTTCATCCAGACGACCATCGGCAAGACAGACTGGACGAGGGAGTGGGTGGGAGTGGGTGAGAGAGGATCTTCTAGTGCGGAAATAATAGAGAGGATCTGCTCAGATGAAAGGAATGAGGGGGAAGTGATCGGGAGAGAGAAAGAGAGTCATTAAGCAGTCTGCCATGTGCCGGTTATGGACCAAATGTTTGTTTGTTTCTATTTCCTAAAAAATGGCCAACCACCAATCTGAGACAAGCCCATAATATGATAATTAAGACAAGAATGAACACAATCCTGACACAGCTCGGCCCTGCACGGGAGGAACAGAGCAACGATTCTGAGCATCTGCAATCATTACTGTCGCCTTAAGAGCTCATATAAGCGGCTAATAACAAGCAAGCCTAATATTTTTAATTACAAAAACAAAGACGCACATTTGATCAGCTAACCTTAAGTTTCTGCCAATAAAAACTTATAATAGGGTAGATTAGTATTATACAGTCAGGTTGAGGGTGACATACTTTAAAGCCTTTTATTATCTCCATGAAGAGATTCTGCATTTGATTGCAGATGATGCCGTTTGATCCATTCTGGCCATGACTTTTGTAAGGCACCAATGAATGCATGTAAAGTGTAAAGTAAAACAATTTACTTTCAACAGGATGCTTCTTGTAATGGCTTCCTACAGTATATTATCTTGTGTTGTACTTAGTTTGGATCTTGATGGTTTATAGCACTAATTGTAAATCGCTTTGGATTAAAGCGTCAGCTAAATGCTATACGATACTGTATGTACTTATTTTATCTACGACTAATAGTATATCTAGTTAATAGAAGAAAAACGTTGACATTCTTGTCACTTTTATACACCGTTAGACACATTCCTCTATTTATTCCTATATCATTTTCACTGTGATATGTTTGGAAGTGATTGATCAATATATTTTTGAGAAGATATACAATTTATCTGAGAAGAGGTAAAATCATTTATTCCAACTTTATGGGCAACAGTGTATTAACATGACTTCGTAGTGAAAATCTTGACTGAAAGACAGACAGCATTTTGTCCTTTGGAAAACCTTGGTCAATTGTTTTCATTGAAACAAACAAGTTAAATGTCAGACTTATTTAGTACGGAATTAGGTAAACATACTATGGAGGAGCTGCTAGCTGTCCGCTAATGTTTGCTACGCTTTTTTTCTAATAGCCTAATCCTTTTCAAATTACCAAGATCTGAGAAGCGTAAAATGTAGATTTAAAACTGGACAAAAAGTACTTTTGGTATAGCTTCTGTCAGAGATCTACAATGATGACGCATACGCAAAGGGTTTACTTTGCTATTACGGGCAACCAAATGAAACAGGTCATTTCATTGAATAAAATTACCGATTTCTTCTAGTTCGAAAATAATTAGATATTTTAATGCAAAAACTTTACAATGTCTACAATTGAAATGCCGGTTATTAACTAGTTGATATCTACATCTTCTTAACAATTGACTGCATTTGTGTGTGTACAGTTTAATTTTGCGGATTAAAGAACATTTATACTAGTTTGCGTCACAGAACTAAGTGTGAACCTCACTTGGCTTTGACGTTTTTGAAGTGTAATCTAATTCAATGTATTCAAGTTAAAGATTGAAGGTTCGGCCTGCATCTTACATCAACTGTAATTCAATAGACTCATGTAGAGAAATATAAATGGATCCATGCATGTAGTTTGTGTGTTTACATGAGCTCTGAAGCTTTCACCGTTTCTCACCATGTGCACAAGTATGCGTTCTCCTGTGGGATGGAGGGCCAGGGCCTCGTCATACCAGCCTTTGGCTTCTTCCAGTTGGCCCCGGAGCTCGGCTAGGCGACCCCGCTGCAGCATCACCGAGTACGAGCTTGGGAATAGCGCGCTGGCCTCAGCTATGCAGAACTGGGCCTCTTTTAGCCGACCATCCGCCATGAACAACTCCCCTGGAGGAGGAGATGGAGAAGGAGGAGGAGGAGGGAGGAGGACAACGAGTGAGAGGGATGAAGCGATGAGGAGAGGAAAAGGGATTTCAAGAAAAAGATGAAGAAAGGATGATAAGGGAGGGAGAAAAGAAGAGAACCGGTTAATCCCATCAGTAGCATGTGTGAGTGACAAATGACTTAACTGTGAGTTCAGCTGAATTATGTTAAAATGTAAACTGGGCAGCGTTTAATCACAAACAAAACCAAACACACATGGGTTCACTCAGCGCTCGGGAGCAGACAGCGTATACAATATATTTGCACAAGGCAGCTTGCTTGCTCTCTAAGAGAAGGTAACACACACTCTCACACACACACACACACACACACACACACACACACACACACACACACACACACACACACACACACTGACGCCTGCAAGCATATCAATGTCCAATAAGAGGACCAATATCTGGACGGCATGCTGACGCAGCTAGGGAGATGTCAATCATGGAGTGGACGCTGGGTCAACACCCAGAGAAACTCTGAGAAGTAAAATTGTCAGCTCTAAACACTGTGTGCACGTGTATGTATGTTGTGGGGACAATTTAGTCCCTCCCATGGCAGCGACTTGCATTTATTTCGTAGACAAAAAGCAAGTCCTTGTAACCTCTTTCCATGCATTTTATGGTGAAGAGTTTAAAGTTAGGTTCAGAATAATCGTACATTATGTAATTTTCTTCCAATAGGGGGATATTGTTTTGGAACTTGTGACGTAGCGTGGGATCATGGCAATTGTTGTCTTCTTTGGTCACCTTCCCAGAATAAAGATTCTTTCTTTGTTTATTGCTCAGACAATTTGCACCAGAAACCGTTGTCCTCAGAGGTCTCCTCCTCCCCAAAACAAATGGACCTGGTAAGTATAACCGATAAATCACTTATTAAAGCAGTATCTTTAAAAAAACAACAACGTTGTAGGTACTGTTTAGTTGTGCTAGCATTAGCTTGTTTTTGTGCTGACTTAAGATCTAGACGTTCGGTGAAGAAATCAGTTGTCTGATTAAAATATACTGTTAAAGCGCAACCCAGTAAGTCACCTGGTATAGTGGGTTGCCTGTGTGCAAAGGTTGAGTCATTTTTGTAGCCACCCAGGGTTGAATCTGACTCTTTGCTGCGAAAGCTTTTTTTTTTAACATCATAGTATTGTAAAAGTGTTGCTTGAAGCGGATAAAAAGTCAACAGGCAACCCCATAAAATGTACTGTTAACCTGATGGAGAAAAAAAAATTCTCTAGGTTTGTGGTTTATTGAAAATAATTGGGATTATTCAAAATCATAACTGATTTCATATGGAAATGTTACAAATGATATCTTTAAGGTTAAGATTAGAAGTAGGATTAGGCAAGTAGTAGTTACGGTTAGGGTCATTCTCCAGGAAATTAATGTTAGCCATGGTAATGTGATGGAAACACAACTGTGTTTGTGTGTGTGTGTGTGTGTGTGTGTGTGTGTGTGTGTGTGTGTGTGTGTGTGTGTGTGTGTGTGTGTGTGTGTGTGTGTGTGTGTGTGTGTGTGTGTGTGTGTGCATTACCTTCTCTTAGAGAGCAAGCAAACTGCCTTGTGCAAATATATTGTATACGCCGTCTGCTCCCGAGCGCTGAGTGAGCCCATGTGTGTGTTTGGTAGCGGATGTTTTGTTTGTTTACCTCTGTCTCATGAATGCACAGATGGGAGATACTTAGTGCATGCTTGCTACCTCTGTGAGATGAAAAACAGCCATTTCCCAGCCTCCGGTTTACTTTTCATAGCTTCACATCATGGGGAAAATGATTCAGTGAATGCTCTGTGGTTATGAAAGGCAATTTTTCTTCTCCTCACCTGAGCTCCCAGGGAAAAAAATCAGATCACTGCATGAATGTATAATGTCCATTTGAAGGTGTGTTTGGAAGGTTATATGGAGCTAAGTATATCCATTCTCAAAAACATTCTGTGTGTGTTTTTTCCTAAGTGGCCGATGAGGATGTGAGATTGAGAGAGGAAATGACCGATGAGAAGAGGAATGTGCGCACAGAGGGAGGGGGGTCTGGGGGTGCCACTGACTCAGCCTTGAGCTTAAAGACACACCCCTGCTCTCACACATACACACACTATTTATTTTGAATCAGCAGCGAGCAGTTTTTATTTTGTCTGGACTCCAGAAAGGAAAAGCAGAGATCAAAGGTTGGACATTGAAAATAACCTTTGAATTACAGTCGGCCACAGGGGATGTGACCCAATGACCCCTCAACCCATCTTATCCCGTACTGTAACACACTCTGGTATGCTGGTTGCATCAATGGCTTCAATAGCCTGCTGTATGGGTTTCCATTTTGGTTCTCATGCCTCATACACTCCGGCCCGGTGGGATGGGAGGAGTGTTGTTTGTGCGCAGCGTCTCTGTACTCCTCTCTTCATTTCCTGCTAATGCTCCACTCTTCTCTAAACTTACACAGGCAGACTGAGGCTGAAGGGCTGGAAGTAATAGCAATATCCATCACTGCCATTCTGCCCTTAACAGAACAGTGGCCACATGTATGCAGGTACAGCGCACTCCTACATAAGGTATGCATGGTTCTACCCACTGAGATGCCCTTGTTGTTTGTGAAGGCAGAAAATGGCTGCAGTAATCACATTACATGATGTCGTTTCACACAATAACAAGATTACAAATATATCATCCCAAACAGAAATTATGTTGTCTGTATATCTACAGTACATCTATGATGTTATCACACAGGGTTTTCCAGCCTTTCGCATATTGGTGACCCAGTGATAATTATGTGATAGCATTACTGAAACGTGAAGTAAAGCATATTCAAAAAGTGAATACCAAGTGAATAAACACTATCTCACTCCCCAGAGAGACAGGGTTTGTAAGCATGTCAGTAAGCTGCATAAGACAGTCAGGCTGCACAGCTTTCTCATCAGCATCTGCATAGCACACTCACAGCATACTGTGTGTGTGGAGAAGATTTCCAATAAATTGCAATCAGATAGTCATTCTTTGATTTCAGGGTCCGTGTAATCTTTGTCAGTTTGATTTTTCGATTAAACAAAAGCCAAAAAACGAAAAAAGCCTTTTTTGTTTATGATTTAAAATGAAAAAAACGGAAAACCAAAGCCGTTTTCCTGTTTTTGTTGTCTGAATCAAAAGACGGATTCCGAGAAAACCTAATAAAAAAAAGTCTGTGTACGTTTTGGGTGAGTGTATGTTTTGGTCCTTGGAATAACTCATTAAAACAAGAGGATCCAAATTACGAAGAGGATACACAAATGATTTTTCATTTTTGTTTAGGTTGCGAGATTGGGATGTCATAATAATCTGAAATTGTAGTTTAAATATGGGAAATGGGGACAACAACTCGAAAAGAGAAATAAAAGCGTTGTTTAAACGCTCTAAGCAATAAAGTCAACCTCAACTTCTTGATAGCATCTACAGTACTACAACTTCAAATTCATAAACACATCAAATTCCCAACTCGGGAAATGGGAGCATGTGGATGCACAATTAGCCATGACAGAGTTGAGGGAGGGTCCAGGTTTCCATCTCAATACATTAAGCTTAACCATAAGGGGTCCAATAATTGATCCATGAGGTAAACCACATTGTCTATCTCCAGTTGACAAAGAGAAGTCAAAGCTTTCCTGTTTGTCAAGTAGGATGGAAATGATTAGATGCTAATTGAACGAACTGACTACTAGGGTTAACTTTGATTTAAACATTTGTAGAATACTAAGAGCTTTATTGAGTAGGTGTAACTGTATTAAGGGTTAAACTCATAACTTTATAACTTAGGGTTTAATGTAATTGGAAAACCATTGTGACACTGAAAATACAATAACAACTCAGGAGGGAGCCAGTCTAGATTTCCTTTTGAGGG